GAACCATGCTCCCAGATCACCTTGAAGCAAAGTTAATACTTTGGTCACAGCAGTAGTTAAGTTTTAATTAAATTTTGGTTATGAATGTTATTTTCAGAATAAAACAAGCTGTCAGATGAACATGGCATACAAAGGTGTCCTGTTCAGTCAACCACAGAAACAGAGGGAATCTGCAGTTCATGAACTTCCTGGAAGGTAGGTCACTGTTTCATGCCTATTTTCCTTTTATTTTGCCTAATTATTTTGGAACTCATTTGTACATTAAGCCATGAACACCACAGCGGTTCTACATGTGAATGATACCCAAGTGTGAAAGGAAATGCCACCATCATTGCCGATCTGCTGCCTGGTAATTTCATTGAGTGCCCCTTTCTTTCCAGTTGCTGGGAAGGAATCACTCAGGCTCTACAGTCTGGTGTCCAAAAGAGGCAGACCATAACAGAGTTCTGACTCTCTGTACTGAATTTATGCGGCAGTGACCACATTTTCTGCCTCAGTATCCTACAGGACAGAGGTAAAATGAAGGTAGGTCTCTGCACCAGCAAAGCCAAAACATTTCCTACAGTTAAGAGCAGAGAAGATGCACATGGCAGCTGTCTGTTAAGGGATCTAGACGAGTAAGTCCCCCAGTCTTGGTCTTGGGAAGAGCACTGGCTACCAGCAGCTCCCAGGGCTCTTCTCTGAGGCCTGGCTGTCCCTGCTGCCTCAAGCAACAAAAAATGCTTGATTCCTGTGAAATCCAGTGAAAGCCTTTTCACCTGTGTAAGTTTGCCAGCAAGCTGAAAGTACCCCACAAATCACTAGAGATCTGAATGTGTAGGCAGTGGTCAAATAAGTAAGGAAACACAAAAGTGCAATGGAAATTTTGTTTCAAGAGTCCTGTGGTGTAGTTGAATGTCAACATTGAATTGCTTCTACGAGCTTTGGGAGAAATGCAAGATGATGGCATGAGAGGTAAGAGAAAGGAAGGTCTAATGAAGTTACAAACTTGACAATTTTGTACTTATAAATGCTCCTATCATATAAAATTTAATTGTGTTTCAAGGAAAACCAAGAAAGCATAATAGCTGAGAGATTTTGCTCCTTAAATAGAAAAGTAAGCTTAAACCTTGTTATGGAAAATTAATGCTTCTCATACACTTTAGTTCCTTTATTTTTAATTCTCTTGCAAGTTAAAACCATAGTTGTAAATTTTCCCTTTCCTAGCAGAACAGAACTTGAATACAAGGTTTATAACAGACCGTCTTATTTCTAAGAAAAGTATTTAAGCACACTGAAAACAACTCTTTGCAGCTGTGTGTAGATATTGCACTTACATTATGGACATAGGGAGCAGCCTTGTTTTGTCCTAAACTACTTGTTATCAGTTGAGTCCAGAACCGAACCAACAAGTATTTTAAAAGCAGTAAGGAAAGAGAACAAAACCTGTGACTCAAAGATAAATGCTAGTCTAGGTTTATCTGAGAAACAATGAAATGCAGCTAGAGAGGAGCAGCTTTTGAGTCAGCTTTTCTCTCAACATAGAATTAACACCGGTAATGTTTCTGTTCTGTGAGTGATGAAACAACTGCCTCTTGGAAGCACGAGTGTGATAGTCATAGGTGGTATCACAGGTCCCTCACATCAAGAACCTTAAGAACTGTTTTCTGGTTTCCTAATGATATCAGCCCACCCTTGAGTGGAAGAAACAACAGGAGCAGGGCTTGGATGCAGACACCTAGAAAGGGCATATAAGGTGGGATACAGTGGTACTTTCCCAGGATACTCTTCCATATGCTGGTAATGTAGTTGCTGAGGGACTCTGTGAACCAAAGATGGTGCATGTTTGTGGAAAATCTTCAGACTTCTGCCATCAATACACCCCCAAAAACTGAAGCCCTGAGCAGCACATGCCCACTATGGATGATGAGCTCCACGGTCTGAACACTCCCCACGGTGCTGTGAAAAGCTACCTCAGCCCCTCTGCTTGGAAGCTGCCCCTTCCCAGTTCTACCCAGTGTCCCCTCAAGAGCCAGGGAGTGAAGGAGTCCTCGCTCGCCCCTTACCTGCCTCCCACTCCCACCTCGGCGAGCACCGAGCCTGAAGGGGCAGCGTTAGACACTCCCTCACTCACAACGCACATCTGGGAGTCGGGAGTTGCTGAGGGGAGCGAACCCCTCCTGCCTCCAGCATCCCTCTCACCTGCCTCGGCCCGGGAGGCAGCCCCGGAGAGGAGAGGAGGTGGGAAGGGGACAGTGAATCCAGGGAAGACACCAGGGCTACGGCGCTGCTCTGAGAGAGGGCAGGGGCAGCGGGAAGGGTTGAAGAGCTATTCCAGGTACTCGCCGAGACCGCGCACGAAGCACCGCACGAACCGCGGCGGCGGCGGCGAGCTCAGGCTGCCCGGAGCGCCGAGCGCCCGCAACGGGAGCGAAACACCGGCACGGCGGGACCCCGACACCGCTCCGCCCCGGGCTGTGCCCGAGGGGCTCCCCAAGCCCCCCGGCGGCCGTGTTACCCCCCTCGCAGCCCCTCACCTCCTCCTGTCCCGCCGGGGTGTCCCTCGCCGCCCCCGCCATGGCACCGCGCACATCCCACCCCGCCCGCCACCTGCGCCCGGGGCGGGGCGGCCGCGGCGGAGCGGGCGGTGTGACCTCCCCGCAGAGCCCTGAAGGTGCGGGCGCTGTCCCCCCGGACCTGGAGAGGGGGATCCCCCGCTCCGCCGAGCCCCGACACCCTGCGCCCTCCGCGGGGCAGCGGCGCGGTGTTCAAGGACGGGGCACGGCGGCGGAGGGTGCCGGGGCTGTTCTCACCCACAGCCCAAAGATGCCAGCTCTGGCCCTGTCAAGAGGTGCGCTGTTTCCCGATTCACACGAATGTATGACCAACGCTGTCGTCTGTCAGCTGGACGGAGATAACGCAACACCCGCCCGCGCTGCGGGGAGAGCGGCTGCGAGTTCTTCCACTACGAAGAATTCCTTCACAGAAAGGGTGATTAAATATTGGAATGGGCTGCCCAGGGAAGCTGCGGACTCACAGTCCCTGGAGGTGTTTAAGGGAAGACTGGACGAGGCACTCAGTGTCATGATCTAATTGACAAGGTGGTGTTTGGTCACAGGTCAGACTTGATCTCAGAGGTCTTTTCCAACCTAATTGATTCTGTGATTCTGCTGCCCTCCAGCCAATACCCTTATCTAGGTTGTCGGAGTTCAGCACCACCCTGCCCGCTGGAAAGTGCTCTTGCAAGCATGCTCTTGCACCAGAGGGAAAAAAAATACAAATTGCATTTTGGAGTATGAGTTCTTTCAACAGTGAGACAGCCTGAGAGACGGCTTAACAAAGACAACAAGGACAGGAGGACTCATGACCTGCTGGTCTTGGGAAGATGACAACTAATCTATATGCACAGGGCTTTGTGGCTTGACTGATTCGAAGAGCTCTCTGCAGGGTCACATTGTAGGTACTGGGCAGAGCCACTGCAAACCATGCCATGAAGTACTGACGTGCAAATCCTGTGCAACCTCATTTGACAAGGCTAATTATTGCAAATTTGCAAAATTCTGAAAAAAACAAGGCATTATTTTTTTAAAACCAGACCTTCAAAAGAAAACTGGGATTACAGCCTTAACAGGCCTTGTTGAAAACTCTGGTGCTTTTGGGCTCCCGGGTGGTCCCTAAAGGCTGAGGCCTGGTGAGCTTCAAAACACAGACAGATTGCCTAGTACCAAGCTAGATACAAGGTATCTAACATTCAAATTCAGCATTTAGGTTCTTCATTTTCTCATCACACACCATCCTTGTAACACACTAAATCTTTGTTACATGCCATTTGCATGTTTCTTCACAAAGGGAAAACCAACATGGAAAACCAAAATGTCCTTTCTTTGTTCTTTTCTTGGCTATTTCAATTTTGCTGTAAATCATGTTAATACACAGGCTTTACCCAAAACAGCAAAGGTTTCTGAAGAAACAATGAATAACTGATAGTACTTGTGTGTTTCACAAACTCTGGCATTAATCAAGCCAGTTTTACTGTTGTTTGACCAATGCACAATAGCTGTCTACAGCACAAAGCAAAGATTAGGCTGTCCAGACACTACAGGTAGCTAATCAGTCTTTACAAGCTGACAAAAACCCAATTAAATTCAGGAGAGCCCTGTATTCACTCCAAAGATTTTCTCCAAGTTAGGAAATACATTATCCAATCACAATTCATTACCTTTTTTAAAGGCACTTTCTAATCTTAACACGGGATTAGTGCAGTCAGTATCATTCTAGACTTTTCAAAGGTTCGCTCTTATTTTGTAATTAGGATCAAGACACTTTCAAACTGCAAATGCACATTCGAGTACACCAAAGCTTTAGCCAGACACAGCTGACTTCAGTAAAGCACAATATACAGCCTGGTAGAACCAAGCTGTGCAATCTCTTAAAATGCTGGCACCAGACATGAATCAACGTTGAAATACAAAATACTTTCCGAAGGACAGCAAGCTAAATGGGTTTACCTACAATTTGACACTCTCTCCTTCAATTTCAATCTGACACTAATTATTTCTTTGAACTTCTGTGTTGCCAATGCTTGAATAGTACATTTTAACATTTCATGCACCTTTTAGATAAGAGCTGAACTCACAATCAAAAACGTGTTGTTTTCTAACACTTAGAAAACATTAGGGCAAATTCAAAAGCACTGATTAATAAAATTCATTCTTCAGGAAGCTCTGAGAACTTAGGATTGGATCTGAGTCTCCAGGTGATTTGTCTTGACAATTTTACTGGTGGATTTGTCTGCACATTTCTTCCTGTTTTTCACATAGGTGAGGAGTCAGTGCAAGAGCCAAGAAAATTCAGTTGTAGTACCTGCTATACAAACCCAAATGACATAGTAGCACATGAAGTTTATAGCACTGAAAGAGTGAACTGCATGGTTTTCAGAGACTTGCTTTCTGAGAACACTGAATAGATATTTGTGCAGTTGACTTTGATTTCACGATGCTTAAACACACCAGGAGAGATGCTGAAGCAAACCACTTTTATATCCCTGGGAAGTAAGTACACGGGTAGTTTGAAGTCTCCCAATTTTCAGACAGAATACAAGTCACTCCAATGAAGCAATTTTCTATTTAGAACAAAACCAGGAAAACCCAAAACCATCTTTCACTTAACCTTGCAAAAGAAGTACAACCCCAATAATCACCCATTGGCTTAGGTAGTACAGATTAGCCAGCATCTACCAAAGGTCCTGAGATAAGTCTTACCTAGAGACTTTAGTTCCATTCACAAACCCACATGCTTAGTAAACACAGTACAAAATATTTAGTCTTTATGTAGATTTCTCTTTTAGCAAAACACAGAATAGTCGGCTACAATTTTTATGCCTCGAGTACATGAATAGCACAATAAAAGACGGGGTAGGGGGGTGGAGAAAAACCTCAGTTTTCAAATAAGGATCTTCAATGTATTTGAAACTCAGCTACACATAATTACTGTCTTAATCAGCTGGTCAGTTCAGGGCAGAGGCAGATAAAGAACACAAAAACAACCGTAAACCACTACTCCTGTATGGTAGTGCCAGAAAAGCAGAAGTTTTTGTGTGACAAAGCTAAAAGTGGATCTCTGTGCTAATGAGCTAGGTAGTTTAACATCACCTGACCTGTAAGACACCTGTAGCAGCCCAGAAGAGGCAGAAACCACTTCAACCATTGGTAATAACAGTTCCTTCAGAGCTTACTTGGAGGCACTTCATATGCAGTATGCACCAGACTACCTCATTTCTATCTTCTCACACATGCACCTACCACCATGACTTGACAGCACATTATTACACTGTAGATCTTGTGATAAAAGTTAAATCCCAAAGATCTGAAGATTTTCAAGTTAAGAGTCCAAATGTGAGCTTCCCTGCAGCATCTGTTGTCTAAAAGTTACTGTGAGAACAATGCAAACTGCAGTAGTTTACATCACAATGTAAGTGAAATACTTCAGTTTAGTCTAAAGTGCAAAAATAAATACTGTTTTTCCCTAAACGATGCTATCAGTAGTAATTAAGTCTCAGAGAACTGTTCCACCTAAATCCACTCATTAAATAACTACAAAGCTTTTTACCTAAGGAAATTCTAAGGATGATCTGCTGTACAGTTACCTCTGCTATGCTATACAGCCAGGCTCTGACCACCCAGTCTAGCTGAAAATACTTATTACAGCAGATGACAGCACAGCACCCATACTGCTCTCCAAGAGCACAGTGCATGAGGATGTGAGGGCATCCACATATTGCTGGTTACATTTTTGGTTTTGCCTAGTTTCCCCTGCATCTAGTTTTTGGCCAGTTAAAAGCTAATTTGATCTTGTACTACTGACAGCATTTTTTTGTTCATTCTTGAGTTGTCCATTAGGGGTAGCAGCACTTTTATAGTCATTGTCAGGTGCTTTTATCACTAAGAGCCTGAAAGGTTCAGTTGTTTTCTGAAGTCTCTGAACAACAACAGCATTTTGCAACTCTGCTTCCCCCAGCGTGAGTGTCTCATCTTGCAGCTCTCGAAAGGGCAGAGAAGTTGTCAGCGTGAAGGGAACACTTCCCTCTGATCCTTGATACTTTGTTATGAAGTCTCTGACATGGCTTATTCTGAGAAGAAAAGAAGAAAACTCGGCATTAGAGTTTTGGCACTGCAATCCCAACACAGACCATGTGCACCAACACCCACAGCCACCACAGGATGAGCATGAGACACCACTTCATGTAATGCCAGATGGCAGAGAACTGGACGAATAAAGATGGGGTGGTATTCTGAAATGCCTGATCCACTTGGGAGGCAAGGACTAAGGTTTGCGTGCTCCAAGAGTACTCCCAAAGGAACAGGGATGAGTTATCTTATTCTGAGCACTCAAATGCTTCACCGTGGCTCAGACAGTATTTACACAAGCCTACCATTTCCTAGCCAGCTGGTGGAGCTCTTACCTGAGGATTCTGTAGCCAAGAGCTTGAATAAAGATGCCTCCAGTGTGTGGTACATGTAGCAGAACCATAATAAAAATCAAGAAAAAGGGTTTGCAAAAACTGTCTGGATAGCTGATACGTTAACTAGGTCTAAACATAGTTTCATTCTACCAAAGCAGGTGCAGTGGTGAATTCATTGCAGATTTAAGGTGCCTATTAAGGTGTGAAGAACCTTGCAACAAGTGATCAAGACAGAGGTTTTGCTATGGAACAATCACGATTGACCAATTTAATTGGAAAATGAAGATGAGAGGATACATCTACATCAATAAAATAAACAGTGTCGATGTCCACTCTCTGGTCCTGAGGCCAGCTAGTAGACTCTGGCTACTGGCAACTTACTAAATTTACCCTTCCTCTCCCCCATTCCCAGTGTAGCCCATGAGGTTTACTGCCTCCTGAGAGTCCATGACCTGAGCTAACATCTGAACCATGGCTAGATATCAACAGAGAAAGTGCTGGCAGGCTTGGGGGAGAGCCATCCTAACAGTTTAGCAGCAGAGATGACCAAACTTCTGTGCCTCAGCCATACTCACTCACCAGGGCTGATTTGCCAGCATAACAAAAACCAATTCCTGTGCTCACAGGCCTCTGTTAAGAAACAGAGCCTAGAGCCTGAAAAGCCTCAAGCAGGACTAAATTTTTGGTTGGACATTTACATGTGTCTACAAGCATTATACCAAAGTTCACTGTGTTCCAAGAGCAACTCGGGCAATCAGCCACCAGCTCTCTGTTTTAGAAAGCCAACGTTCCAGGCGCCATGCCCAGCACTCCAGGGTCACACTAACTTAGCAAGTGCTCAAGAAGGGACACAACTAGATCCAAGAGGCAGCTCTGTGTGCTATTCCTACAGCTCTACTCTGCTAGTTGCTACACTCTCGATTCCCCATACTGCAGCTCTACAGGTGGTACCTGCACTTTGGCTCCAATCTTTCAGCAGAAATGAAGTCATATCTAAAGCAGCAGTTACTGTGGCACATACACATGCCATCTGCAAAATCGTAGAAGTGATCAATTTAGCTAGACACTACAACATATGTGCTAAATGTTATTAATCTACAGTTTAGCTAACAAATAGTTGACTGTATTCTGGGTCTCCACCGAAAGGAGTGCTCTCTGTGCAATCATCACACTCAAGGATGTGTACTCTGAAAGGATTTCCCTCTAGTTCTTATTGGGTCATACACAAATACCGTACACAGCACAAACACGCTGGTCTTGTGGCAAGAGGATATGTTATATTGGAATATTTATTGCATGCTACTTCAAAAAGAGCTGTGCATCACTAAGGCTGTTGTCCTGCTTATCTCAGATTTTTTTTCCCCTCTCAAAAGCATTTAGCAGCTGTTCAAACTGCTATTTTTCAGGAAGACAGAAAGCTTCTAAATATACTTAAATGCGTGAAACCTGGAATAGTTAAGATATTAAGCCCTTCAATTAAGTATTTATAATTAAAATAGCAATTGACTCTTCAGCAGTACATCACAACACTCTCTCAGTTCATACCTCAGGCCACTAACAGTAATACATCAGTACAAGTCAAAGAAAAAAACTACAGTCATTAACCTTCGACTGCTGAGCTTTTCTTCTGACCAGCCACAGACATGGACAGCTTATCTTGACAGCAGCCTGGGTTGTATTAAATCTGTGATACCTTCAAATTACTTCACAGAGAAGCACAGTCAACATATCCTTTACATGACATGACTGTATAGTGCTGGAGTAATTTCTCAAATTACAGATTTGAGAAAGGTCTCTAAAGACAGTAGTTCAACAGATGAATGTTAAAGTGTTAATCCTACTTTCTCAAATCTCCTGTATATATATATGCTGTTCTGACACCTTCTGTCATTATCCAATTTATAAGCTTCCTTGGGAACTGGAGATTTTACTAATTAATAATTAAACACACTGGGTGCATTCTATTCTGTCCACACTGGCATGCAGGAGATGATCCTCCCCTGCCCAGTGCACTGACTCTGGTCCTCCTCAGAGGTTTCTCTGGCTCAGCTCTAAGTCACATTCTCCAGCTCCCAGCTGGGGTGCTGTCTCTGCTCAATGAGTAGCAGGCTTTTTACTAAGCCATTTGCTCCAGATGTAGTTGTTTTGTGAAATCTGTCATCTTAAAAGCTGTTTCCTCTAGTAATGAGCAATACCACCCTAACTTCCACTAACCTACAAAGAACTCCAACAGTTTCCTCAGATTTTCCTTCATGTTCAGTTATGAACTGACTATTAATATCAGTTCACATTCCTCTTATTCTCCTCTCTTCTCAGCTAAAAGATTTCTCAAAATTTCAAAGGTTTTCTAGACACAGCTGAAGAGCAGATCAACACTAAATGAACTGAGAAGATAGATTATCCACAGAAATCAGAGACTTATGTGTACAGACATAACACAAATAGTTCAGATGTAAATACATATGACAGTGCTAAAACAAATCTTACCTGTGAGAAACATTGAATTTCTGAATTATCCTTTCCCCATCAGCTAACCAGATCTGGATGTTAGTGATAGGCTCCAAATCATTCAAGGGTACTAAAGGCAGGTGTCTTTTGTCATCAGGTCCTTGATGATCGTCTCGTACTTTAGAGATTATCTTTGGAGTAGCACTGAAAAGAAAAGCCACATGAGGTTATGGCTTCTGGGTACACATGTAAGCTTGAACCTCCCTCCAGACCTCTGCTCTCTGCTTCTGGAGCTTTCTGCCCTGTACCAGGGTGCACTGATGACTTCTTATTTTAACAAATTCAGGAACACCAACATAAATATCATCTTTTTTTTTCAACTGTATGCCAATACTTTCACTTAAAGACTTCAACATGGTAAAGAATTTCAGTTTGCTCATATTTAACATTTTTATAAGACTGAAGGATTAAATATGAATAGACAAGAGACGAAACAGTCTGAAGATGCTTCGTGCGTTTTTGTACTCTAAGCACACAGGTGAAACTTTAAGGGGGTTGAGTATTGAATTTGCATACTCAAAGTTAATTTTCATCGTAATGTGATTACAGTAATTCAATTTAACTGAATGTTGTTAGCCTTGATTTAGACTCCAGCATCATCTATCTCAGCTTAGAAGAATTACTCATCTATCAGAGCAATTGACTTAATGTGAAAAATCCAGGCTGATGCACACACAGCATTTGGATTGTATTTTTCTAAAGCACTTTCTACAGCTGACCCTCCCATAGGGGCAAAGATATACAAGATGATTTAACAGAATACAGGGGCCTCAGTCCAAGACCATGATATTAAAAACAAAACAACAAAAAATTACTGGCAAAAATTTTTATTCTGAAGAAATGTCTAGAGCTCAGTGCTTCTTTCGTGACTAGGCCTTTTCAGCATGTACTGTTTAAGCCGCCGTCGGGGCTGATCCAATGGGCACGTCCTCAGCTCCTGTGAGTATAACCAGATGTTTGCTTGCAGAGCCATAGCAGTGATTTAAGGAGTTACCATTTCTCCTCTGGGCTCAGCTGTGGTCACTGACTACATGAACACTTAGTGGTGGTTTATAGAAAAGCTTTCTCCTTGCATAGAAAATTGATGAGTTACAGTTTCTTGAGAGAGAATTGGGTAACTGATGGCCATGGAATAATAACTATACTGCACATCTGCTTTATGTTCTTGTACCTTAGTTTAATCATAAAGCAGAAAAGTCTCAATTTATTATTAAAACAAAGATGGTTAATGACTTAATATATCGAGGCTAATAAAGTTAGAGTCTTAGGCTCAAGTTCTTAGTCTGAGGTATTTCAAAAACTCTTATTGCCCACTGCCTAGTTAAGTGCTGCCCTAACTTCTAGAGTATCAACCAGTAGAGACACTTTTTATTTCTGCCATTGAAACTTAGCAAAAAGAATGAGAATCAAGAAATCTCATCCCCAAGTGAGTGATAAAAGCTGTTCCATGATTTGACAGAACTGGAGGTAGGTAAGAGGCTTCTAACTGTTTTGGATTACACAGAAATCAGCTGGGCCACAAGAACTTACAACTAAGAGGCACATCTGTAAAATACTGTGGTATTCCAAGTGCAGGTGACTTACTACCACCCAGCTGCCTCACTATCTCACACCCAGCTTCTGTTCATGCTTGACCTCAGTACAGAATAAAACTTAATTGCCCTCTAGATCAGGATGAAGTGCTTGAGCACCAACAAGACAATGTTAAAACAGTCTTGTGAGCAGAGCAAAAAAAGCATAAAATATTTCAAGTCATACTTCAGTCCAACAATGATCAGCTTTTGCTGTCTATTTGCTCAGTGGTGTTCAGTCCCCAGCTCAGACACTGCAGCACTCACGTGCACTACAGGCTGCAGAGGTGCTCAGCTGTGCAGCTGCCCAGAGTCTGGCCCAGCCTGGGCTGAACTACATCAGTCACAGCTGTGGCTCAGACAACTGTCTCCCATGGATACAGATTTTGGTGTCATTCTCAAACCAGCTTCTCCCAAGGTCATATCTCAATTCGTGGTAGGCACTGGAGATGATTCTTCCAATAGCAAGTATGTGTGAAGCTGAAGCCAACACTTTAATTGAAGCTGCAAGAGTCAGAAGAGCTGTATTCATCAAGGTTTAAAGCATTTCTATACATAACAACTTTCCTCTTGAAGAACTGACAGATAAAGCCATCTAGTGGTAGGAGCTTTGACTTAGTCACAAACTAAGAATCTAAGTCTCTTATTAGCCTGACATTGAAGCACTGCAATTCCTTTTAAAGGCTTATTCCTTTTATAAGATTACCAATGCAAGATGTAAACTAACAATTGAAGAGACATAACAGCATCCTTGTCAATCTTCTGAAAAGAAAAAGCCAGGAGTGGGGTATCACACCTTACCCTGACTGATGGGTAAGAAGCTTGACATACAGTGCTTTACTCTAATGAGGTTATAGAGCAAGCCCACTTTGCTGCAAGTCAATAGTTTAATTAACGTGTTTCTGAGGGAGTCCTAACGATGCACTGATAAGCCCAACAGAGAAGTGCAGTAGCAAATCTAGTCATAATCCCAAACTACGAAATACAGCTGAATGGTGGCAGATAGAATATATCCATTAGTTATACAGGTTTATAAGGTACATTGGAAAATTCTGGTAAGTCTCATTTGTTTCTCCTGTAAAACAAAAAGGTGGAGGATCAAGTTTATCTGGGCTATATCAATATACTTACCATTTCTAGTTCCTCTAGCTTTCCTCCAAGAAAAGCTTTAAAGAGCCAGCCAACAGACCAATTCATAATGGTGCATGCACCACAAAGTTCCTCCACCTGGGATCACTGGCAAAATAGACTATTAAAGTGTTTGATAGGCACAAGTTTAGATAGGCCATAAGCTGAAATAAACTCTTCAGTCATTTGCCTCTCTCACTTTTGACTAATCACACAAATGCAACTGTGGAAAAGGAGTTCTATAGCTTAAAACTTGTTCCAGGTCTCAGACAGCTCTACTATTTCTCCATTAAACTTCTCTGCTGCAAGTGTACATGCAATGAACATTTATTAACAGCAGGAAACGAGCACTAGTTTATGGAGTAGGAGCACTTATTGCTGATGTTTCCAACATTGGCAAAAATATTTATCTGCCTTTAAAGAACAGGCTCTGATAGCATAGCACAGAATAGACCAGAAGAGTAGAAAAAAAAAAAAAAAAGAAATGCTGAGCAAGTTGTAGGATTCAATGTACAAGACTCAGTGTATAAGACCAGTCAACCGAAATTCACAAATTAGCACGTTTCCAAATCCTAACCTGCCTACTGGGAAGCAAGATCATTACTTGCTGTAGGCATGGCAGAGCAAAACAAGCAGCTGAACAACCTACCATTTAGCACTGGTTAGCAGCAGAATCCCAGCACACTGGGGATCTGCTTGGTTTTGCTACATACATAAAATAAGGTTAAGCTCTTGACCCTCACTTGCTCAGGATTTCAGTGCCACCAAAACAGAGTCTTGCAGTGTCTCATCCATCTCTCAAGGGAAGGTTTTCCCTACTGACTGTGTCTACTCAAGCATGGAAACACTGAATTGACTGTGCTACATGAACAGATGAAACTGATAAAACAGATACTTGCTTCTCTGAAGCCTGGAACCACTCACCCTTTACTGTTATCAGGATCTTGCTCTGCACATTATCTTCTTCCCCTGCCTCATCTGTTCCTGCCCAGGTCATGTTTTCCCTCAGCACAAGCACCGGGCCTTAGCAGCCAAACCCTTCCCACTTAATTGAAACAAGATGCTCACCTAAGGCTTCACCACAGCCTACAATCCCAGCCTGCAGGTCACTCAGCACTTCCACCTGTGGAGGATCCTGCAGGCTCCTGGTCACTGAAAGTGTCCTGTTCCCTAAGCTGAAGCCTGCTTTTATAGGCACGTAAATCTTTCACGACAAGAATATGTGAAGCAGATAATCTGGCTGGAGTAAGGAAAAATTACAGAGATCAATTACATGAACTCCTGGCCTGTCCCTCTACAACAGCTGGCCAAAATACAACACAGTTTGGTCGTAAATCCAGCCCAGTTTTAGCACTGGCATTAGTGGCTGACACTCTCCAACTACAAGAGAGATATGGAGTAAAGAGGATCATCATAACATGCCAAAAGGCCTTAACTGCAACATATGCATGATGAAATATTGAGCAACTTTAAGAGAACACAAAATAACCTTTTACATCTTCAGTTTCCTTTACGGGATTGTCATACTCCCCTCTTCTCAAACATAAAACTTTAAAAGAGATTCTTTTCTCTTAAATCACAGAAGAGTGACAGCCTTTCAGCTGGAAACAGTTCTGCTAAAATTGTGAGCTCCAACAAAGAAAGCCACCAGCACCCTGTCTGTATTAACACAGCAACACAGCCAATTATCCCCCAAGCTCCAGGTTTCATGGAGAGACACCAAGATCACTGCAGGATGAAACATTCACTCTGTGAGCAGAAGCTGAGGAGAGGTGCTTTTCCAGCCTGTGGGTGGTGGTGGTGGTCGTGGGGCACCCACAAACAGCCTGCCAGGGTCTGCAGGAGGCCAGCAGGAGGAGGGGGCCAGGCTCTTCATGGTGGACAGAAATTCAAACAAGAGACATTCAGACTGGACATAAGGAAAAACTTCTTTCCCCCAAAGACAGTCCAGCACAGAAGCAGGCTGTGCAGCTTTTCACTCTTGCAGCATTTCAAGACCCACTTGGACAAAAGCCTGGGCAACCTCGCCTGCCCCTGCAGCTTGCCTTCTTTGAGCAGGAGCTTAGATTAGAAGATTCCAGAGGTCACTTCCAACCTGAATTATAATCCTTAACCTAAGGTACAGTTCCCTTCAACTACCCAGTAATAGAGCATGTCAGACTACTCACCTTCCTAATCTGTAACCATGACCAGAAAAGGGATGAAACATTGGCTTTTTGGATGACAAATACACCTTATCTTTTTTATCTTCCACTTTCACATCTACTTCCTCCTTATCAAAAACTTTTCGTAGCTCAAAAGGCAGTTCCCTTAAGAAAAAAAAAAAGAGGCATGTCAGATAAAGAATAACTATACTGTTTTCAGTATACAAAATAGATTAATGATTAATACTTGCTCTACGTTTAGTCTTTCAAGGATGATGCTTTTAAAAAAAAAATTCCCAAGAATTTACTAAGAGTTATGTTAAGTGCATGGTACACAAACAACTTCAAGTTCCTGAACTGCAAATTAACTAGAAATGGAACAATAAAAAAAAGTTTGTTGAATGATGTTCAAGTTTACTCAGTAGTTACCACTTTTAAGGACAGGATATGTAGGAAGGTCAGTATTGCCACACATTGCTGCAAAAAGGCTGAATTATTTTATCCCTATAGTAAAACAAGAAAAAAAAAAGACAATTGGCTTCTAAACAGAAAGAACAGAGTTTAGACACAATGTGGTTAATTACAAAAAAACCACAGCTTTTAAAAATTAGATCATCACTAATAGCCACACTCTTTAGTGCAACAACATCACCTTGGTGATGCTTTAATTTCATTAAGCAGAAAACAACAATGCCTTTGTCTATGAGCTCTGATGCAGACAGTGCAATTTGGGGTGGAGGGGCTCAGCTGGCAGAGGGGCTGTACTAACTGCTTTCTCTACCATCAGTGATTATGCAGAAACCATCCCATAATTAGCATTTTCACAGGCAAACAGGGGAAGAAAGGTGGCAAACTTTTGATGAATGCACACAAAGAACACAAAGAGCTTTAAACAGTGCAGTTAATTGCTATTACAACTAACACAGATGACAGCCATAAAGGAGAAATAGTATAAAATCAGTATTTTTTCATGGGCTAGCAAAGTATTGAAAAGAAAAATACAATGGCTTAGTAATTTCACACACTTGATAAGGAGTTATTGAATTATATTATCCTCTCCATCTGTATGGGGTGAGAAAACAGACGACAAATTAAAGGTTCAAAATCACATTGGTCTGTACGGTCAACCTGCTTTTTAAAGCAACTACTGCAAACACTAGGAGAAATCAGGATAGCATGTTAACTTTTAACACAAGGGTAAAGGCAAGACAGCTGTTAACACAGGGATAAATGTAAGATTTCAGTGTACAGGCAAAATGACTGAAATAGCGAGTCTGTACTAGGAAAAATGTCTGAAACGTAAGACTGATCAGTTTCTTGATGTTACATGGACCATCTGTGCCCATTTAAGGCTTTGCACGAACAAAAAGAAAACAAAGACCGTAAAACCAGAAATGCTCAACCACTTGTGCAATTGAGTTCATTAGTCAAAATACCATTTGATCAGCAGCTCTTACTGGGCACTGATTTATTCTTTATTTTGTTCTGCACCTGCTGTGCCCCCCACCAACCCTGCCTTTTATCTATTCATCAGCAACTGCACAACTACTGCCACTGAAAGCTGTATTACACCTGTTGATGTTCCAACAGCCATTAGCGCTGCAGGAACGAGACCAGCAGGGCCTGCGCTCCTACAGGGACACCGCAGTGCAGCAAAGCCAAGGAGCCACGTAAAAAGTCTGGAGCATTAGCTAAGTGCTGCCCGAAGCACATTAACTCAGGCTGGTTAAGAACACAAAACTCGCTTACCCCTTTTTAATGGAGTCCAAGAACTGCTGGTTTGCAACATCAGCGTAGCTCCGCAGTTCACTGTCGTTTACCGTAAACCCGTTCTTCCAAAGTTTAATGATGACATCAACCTACAAAGTAAGGACGAGTCTCATTGTAACACTGATGTAAAAGCAGCTTGGTATACCCACAGTACCCTGTGATTATAAATCATCCACTCTAAGGACTAAAAATACTGAGAGCAGGCTCACTGTAATCTGCCTTGGCCCCGTGCCAACAGGCACAGCAACTGCAAGGGGTAAGCGACATTTCTAAGGATCTTGTGTCAATCGGGGTTAGAAATAAACCTTCCCCCGATCATTCTGCTTTCCCAGGTCAAGAACACTCCTTCAATTCAGAAAGGAGGAAAAAAAAAAAAAAAAAAAAGCGCTGGATATTCCAGCCAGCTGCAACTCCTCAAGAGCTCATTTGAGAGCACACATGCCTGGTGTTGGAACACCAACTGCCAGAACAGTCCAGTTGGGGATTTACCGGGGTTAAAGCCCTGTTCTGATCATTCAGGAAGATTTTCTCAAAGTAAAGGCATTGAGATAATGCATTCAGAAGCCTTTCACTCAGAAAATGAAGCAAGTGCCAGAAAATTCACTTTCACACAGTCATACATTTATGTTACCCTGGAATTCCTGGGTATATTCAAAACCTTGGTGTTAGGTGAATGGAAAAATAAATTCTCAGTGATTCGTTAACTTTGCCAGAAATCATCCACTACTCCAACTTGTAGCCTTCACACTGTTTACTAAAATCTCCCCAACTGTAACATGAATATATTTGGGACTGTATTTTCATATTTATGCATCATACCATTTAAGGAAGCATTTGATTATCCAGGTCTGAATATTTTAGATCCCTGAAATAACCTTGTCTTGACAGATACTTGGCCACAGGTGAGGTATATAAAGCAGATATGAATGCAGAATTCACCTCAGCTAGAAATTAGGTTGAACTAGGCTTGATAGTACCTGACAATCTTATCTTTTTTTTTCCTTTTTTTGCATTTTGACTCGTTAGATGATTGCTACATAAATAAACAGGCATGTGCAAACTGCTGAATAAAATTCCTTCTCTTTCAGCTGGGGTAGTCTGTCAAAAAAGTTTATAGCACTCAGCAAGATTAGATTTCTTCAAAAACTCCTGTGTCTTATAGCACCAATGCATATGGAAGGAGTTCTAATTATGGGAAGGTTCCTCTACAGTGAGCCAGTATGCAAATTTAGCATGGGCTAATTATTCCCCACCAATTTCCCATTTAGGCACTGACACAAGTAATGCCACGTAACACTATTTCAGAACTGCAATTTAACATCCTGCTCCTGAAATTCCTTTTTTTTTTTCCAGGTTCAGTTAGGGACTCATGAACATCATTTCCAGCAATGCCCACTCCACATTTCTTCGTGACATCTTTGTTCTACGCAGCCTTTTCTCCCTCCCCTTACCAGTCTTTTGTGAGTAACAGAAAAAAAAGGACAGAATCACCAAGATAAAAACCCACACTGAACATCCCACTACTACCATAATTATATGAATAAGAGTAAATGAAATATATATTGGCTATGCCTCTGCACAAAAAGGCTGCAGCTCCTTAAATAACTTCTTATGTAACAGTAGTCGTCATTCCTTGGAACTCCTGCTCACGTCACTCTCCTTACTAATAAAGCAGAAGTGCATTAGCCAATGCCAGCATGGGTTCTAGAATGACACTAAGCCCACTATAAATTAGTAAAAGCCAGAAGTACAGCAGCACAGGCCTGGTCTGACTGAGAGATGAGAGGCTGTTCCTACAGCTCTCTGAATTCGGTGTGAATTTATTTACAGATGTACTGGATAACAGCACTGCACATTCTGTCATCATCAGTGCTGTTATGTTAAACAGCATATTGAGTAAATATGAGTATTTTTTCTTCACTACCTACCTGATTCTTGACTGTAGTTGGGGGCACACACATAGCACCAACCTTCTGAGCTTCTTCAAACAGGTTATCTACAAAGTAGTCACAGTTTTGTTCTGTGCCATTCAAAATCTGATTGTCGGTTCCTGATTTACACACCCTGCAGAACAAAGGCACAAGTGAAAATGACTTCCTCAGAGGACACAGAGGACAAGCAGGTGCCCCAGAAGCTCAGTACTAAAAGGTGTAGAAGGCTCACTCCCCTGCACACAGTTTACTTGGGTGTTACAAAACATCAGGTCAACTTTGTGTTGTGCATTTTCTCTAAACTTCTTCTCAATCTCTTAACTGCTACTATTTGCACTTCAGAAGCAAAGTTAAAGAATGACAATAGAAAAGGTGAATTCATCTAGGCAGAACTTCTAAACTTGGTATCAGAACAAGGAATGCAAGTTAGGTGATTCATACTTGTAACTCAAACCATCAAACATTTAACTGCACACCAACGAATGGCCTTCCTTAAAGCATTTCCATGATATAGGCTTAGGTTCCTCTGCCATACACAAGAAAATTGCCCTAGGATTTACTCCCCCCCACTTGACCCTGCCCATTCCCAGCATCACCATCACTGTTTTGGAAAGTGCATTAGAGAAACTCAAGTGACTCAACACCACTGGAGCACACTGAAGAAATACAATGGAAGCCTTCAACACTGTGGAGACTGCCAGGGTATTAAAAAAGATGCATCAGCCACATCTTTTTATAGAACACTGTGTATGTGACAGCTGCTTCTGCTAAATTTTCGCCAATCAAAATGCAGAAATATGCAACCTGAATGAATGATTATCTTTCAGTATAGGTTCTTTGCATAGTAAGAGGATTATGCAGCTTTTAGTAAACATTGCAGGAGTTACTCCTATTGGAGATTCAGAAAAGTCTATTTTAAGCAACTCAGGAAAAAAAATCCCAGCTCTAGAAAGATAGCCAGTTTTACATAAAACTCTGCATTGAATTCAAAAGCACCAATGCTTACTGGCATGGTAATTTGATATATTTGCATAAAAAGGAGTTGTTTGTGGTGCATCTATGCAACACTAAGAATCCCTACAGATTAACATCTTTAAACAAAAGAAAACCTCAACAACATTAAAGAAGAAATTTCAAAAATATGCTGTCTCCATTAGTTTTCTAACAGAACAAAAGAAACTTGAGGCATTAATGTTAGGTATTCACTATGCTTTACCACAGAAACAGAACTGGAAGACCAAACACCTCCATATCAAACATAGAGCTGCACAGTGAGTTAGCAATTTGTAAGGCTGCCTTGCTATTTTAAATAAAAATATTTACAGAGCTTCCTACATCTAGGAAACATTTCAGGCATGTGAGGAATTTTTCAGCAAAACAATGGCATTTTTTTGAAACCTTCAGTACATGTGGTGCAGGTGGATACAGAAAAAAATTAAATTTTAGAATTTAACAAAGTTTGAAAAGTCATAACAGGACACACAGACATCAATGGGAAAGGAAGGGGAGGAATGGGGAGGGGAGAACTGGCACCTACCATTCTTTCTTTACAGTTTGGATATTGTCCATGTCTTTCATTCTGGTGCACCACCTAATTATGGAAAGAAGACAGTTTAAAACCAAAACAAACCAAAATAAAACACCCAGCACACTTTCCCTCCTTTTGTAGCTGAAACACTAACTACATTTTTTCCTGTGTAGATAATACATTTAACCAGAAACCTCAAGCTACCCCCCCACCAAGTCTCCAGATGGTTCTTTGTTTTCCTGCAGTTTCTAATTTAATGACACATGAACCACGCATCTGTTCCAGACGTTCAGAAGCAAGGTTACTTTCTCATAAACATACAAAATACATTCCACAATAATAACACTGTGAATTAAAAATACATGCCCATACTTATGCAAGGCCAGGAAAAAACATCACACTCCTTCTCTGATCGACACTGCTTAAACTCCTCTGATTTTCCACAGCACTATGAGATGGTTGCAGAAAAACTGCACTGCCACTGCAGGCATTCGGTGACCTTCACCTTAACTGTGCGTTACTGAAAGGGGCAAGATTTGTCAGGCTCCCCTTCCTACCTTACCTCAACATATTGGTGCAGCACCTCAGAAACTGTGAATTACCATTATTGTTTAGCTGGCAAGAAAATCCTGGATTTGCAAGTACTAAATATACCACAGGATTAGTCTGCTGAGTCAAAAGAAATGAAGGATCCCACATTGATCTCATTACAGGTGCTCACTCCCGAGCTCTCCAAAAAAAGTTACAGAGTGTCACAAAAGGCAGAAACTGTCAAAAACATCCTTAAAAAAATAAAGCCACTCTGAAATTGTACAAGCCCCCCCCCCCACCAAAAACAGAAATTTTAAGTTGCAACTGTGTTCAAAAGAGTTATTCCTGAAGACTATCAGGCACAGGTTACACAGATGATGTTCTGCTTCTGCAGGTCTGGGACTCAGTCACAACATGTGTGGCTTTTAGAGAGCATCAAACTAAGCAGTGACAACCATCACAACCCTGAAAAAAAAATAGCATGCACAGCAAGACTAATATGAATTTTAAGTGATCTTGACATCTAATCTAACAAGACAGAGAGGTTAAGGCAAAACAACATGCAGCACTGACCAAAAAAGAGAAAACCCACATCCAGTTATTCTGTACTAATTCCTATTCCTCCAGCTTTTAATACTGGTATTCTTTCGTCTTTAAAGTTAAATCCTCGTGAGACACATTATGTAGAAAAGTACATAAGCCTTCAGAAAACCCCTATAACAACCAAAAAATGTGGTCAATATGCACATAACAGGTTTGAAAGGTTAGACAGCCTTAAACTTAACTGATGCTATTATGCGTTAGGTCAAAACATTTTACTTTGCACACCTCTGACATGTCACACAAGATGATGGTCAGTCATTTTTTTTTCCCCTCCCACAAATGTTCTGCCAGAGCACTGTATCTACCAGGCAAGCTTGTGCTGGTACATGATGACCTTATATGCATATCTGATCGTTGTTCTTGGAACTCTCTGCTGCACTTGTTAAAAAAGAACTCTCAGTATGAAGTAAGCAGAGTGAAAGTGAAGTGCTTAAAAAGTATAATTTGTTCAAACTTCTCTCAAATTCAGCTTTAACACACACTGTGGCACAAAGTATTTTTTTGCGTTTAGTCTAACGTAATTTTTTGTAGTTTGTGTTAATGTGCTTATCTTCTAGTCTTTCACTCCAGTGGGCTACTACTTTGGGCTACTCCCCAAAGCAACAAGAGCCACCTCCTGCCATCGGCTTTTGTTGATTCTCTGTAACTTGTCATCAGAGCTGTTAAAAAGAGACAGACACAATGAAGCAGCTCCTCAAATTAGCTCTTTGGCTACATTAGGCTGGCCTCAAATGTGCGTGAATGTTATTCAAAACTGGTCAGCTGTGAAAGCTGCCGTTCCTTCTAAAGTACAACGGCAATTATACTTGGAAGAAATGTTTGCATTAATCTCTCAAGGTGAAGAAATCATCCTATACAGCACACTGATGTTTATTATGACCAAAAGCCATCAGGACATGGCAATCAGAATGCACTGCAAGCACTTCAGCTCAGCATGTCAACCCAACCAACACAAACCACGTCTCCCACCAACTTGTGATAGGCATCCCTAGTTGCCATTTTAAATGGTAAGAATTTTGGTGCTTATTTTTTGCATCAGCGACAAGAAGTACCTCAGAACTGAACATCCACCTCCAGAAACTAAATTTAAAATATGGGAAGAAGCTGCAGCTGCCAGCAGCCCACCACAGCTACATCTATTAACTGGGGTAGGACACTGCCGGCCCTTCCCACAAAGCCCCAGGGGCTCTCCAGCCCTGTGATCAGCCCCACTAGGATGGACCATTGACCCAGCAGTGGCTTCACAGCCAGAGCTTCCAAAGAGGCACCCCTCAATAGATGTATTCATTTCAGTAAATAACTGCGGTTAATACAGCTGAGCCCACACTTCCAGTTATTGTAATGCAAGAAAAACAAAACAGAAACTACCTGTGATGCTTCCCTTGCTGTGAAGGGCAGAAATACCCACACAAGCACACACAGCCCCCTCCCCTGACAGCCTGCCTGACAAACTTTGGCAGAACAAGCTCCTTGAGTCGAGAGCTGCTTGAAGCACAGCGCTGTCTATCTCTGCACCACACGGAAATCACGGCTGAAAACTGCACTGTATCGTGCCACAGAGAGACAGGAAGCTCCAGGGAAATGGTAAGTGTGAATTAACAGTGAGATGAACATCAAAGCTAATGGCCTGAATGTGACTGATGTGCTCAAGTACAAACCACAGCATTCACGCTTCCTCTCCAGCTGGCTAGAGGAGCTGTGCACTGGGAAAGAAACCTGTCCCCTCTCTTGATGTCCAAGTGTTAGAAAGATAAGTTACTTGTCTGTAGAATTGTCCTGTTAGGGTTTAGGAGCTTACATTCTTCAATGATCTGACTTAAGGAGTGGTTAACAAAGCCTTGGGAGAAGGATGTACTGATAGTGGACACAAAGAATGTAGAGTTTATGGGCCACAAGGGCATCAGACAAAATTCCCAAGATAAGGAAGAAACTAACGAAGCCAACTCAGCAACTGTGCTGGAATCAGCTCCAGCTGGGTAAAAGGCAATACGTAATTCTGGCAGGGGGATACCGTGACCACCAACTCACAGACCACCAACTCAAGAAACCCATCAGCCCAAAAGAAGAGAAAGACTGAGCATGCAGACTAATAAACATATAAAACAAGGTAATCATTTAACCAATAAAAGACAGATACACTCATGAATAAGAGAACTATGTAACTTCTAGCAAATGAACATTAGTACCTCTCTTTGCTAAAACGTATAAATAGTAAAAAGTTTTGACAGTCGTGGCGCTGGCTCTGCGGATTTGCCACCCAGCCCCCGCTTCTGCGCAGAAATCAAATACCTCGGCTCTGTATGTGGACTGGCCTCTCGCACTCTGGGTGAAAGACACTATTTTGGGACGCCACCGCGGCTGCCGGCACCTGAGCTGCCCCGCACCCCCGAGCCAGGCCGGGCGGACGCTCCGCGCTTCCCGCCAGCGCCGGAGCCCAAACCCGCCCTGCCCAGCGCAGCCCCCGCCCGGCGGGCGGCCGGGAGGTATTTTTAGGCGATGAGGCAATACCGCGGTAGCGACGCGGAACGCCCAGCGCGCCCCAGAGCAGCGGGCAGGGCAGGGACCCCCCCAGGGGCCGCTCCCGCCGCCGCCCCGCGCGGGACGCGGCCGGTCCGGAGCGGGGCGAAGTCTCCGGGCGGAGGCTGCGGGAAGGTTCGGGAGGCTCAGCCCGCCCGCCCCTGGGGCGGCCGCAGGCGAAGTCCGAGCGCCGGTGGGAGCGGCGGCTCTGCGGGACGCGCTCCCCCGGCCCGGCCCGGCCCGGCCCGTGCTGTCCCCGCAGCGACTCACCCGCCCGTCCCGCAGCGCCCGTCCCGGCACCGCCCGCCCGCCGCGCAACTCCCGGTGTCCCGCGCAGAGCGGCGCAGGCGCGGCGGCTCCGGGCGGGGCGGGCACAGCTCAGCCCCGCCCCGCGGCGGGAGCCGGGGCGTCCGCGGGGATCCCACGGGGATCCGCACCTGGTGTGCGGGGAATCGCGGCGTCCCACGGGGAGAGGCGGGGCTCGTAGTCCGAACGGGGCCGGAACCCCCGCGCTGCTGCGGTGGTGCCCGGGCGGGACCTGGCGCAGCACCGGTATAGATGTATATTGAGAGAGAGAGAGATAAACCTCTGAGCCCGGGCTGCGGCTGCCAGCGCAGCTCTGTCCCGACAACAAAGGACGCGGTCTGTGTGTCCGTCTGTCACACACCCGCAATAGCGGGGAGTGGTCGCGGTGTCCGGGCGCTCGCAGCGGCCCCCACGCTTTGTCCGAGCAGCCGCACGCGCGGCCCTTTGGAGAGCGGGAATGTCCCGGTGTGCGGCGGGCGCTAATTAAGGGCGAGTGTTGACACATGTGAAAAAGCAGCTCAGCCGAGGCCTCGCACCGAGGACAAAAGAGCGGCGCGGTGGCTGGGAAGCAGAGCCCCTCCAGAGTGAATTAAACACGGGAAATGGGATGGGATCCTTAGGGAGGCAGGAATGGTTTAGCGGAGTTCGCTGCGCTGTGCTGGGCCTTGGAGAAGCCGCTCTCTGCGGGACGGTGGTGCCAGGGGCTATCCAAGGGCAGCCAGCGGCCAACACCTGGAAAAACACGGAGCAGAGTAAATGCATCGCCTGCACCTGCGTGCTGTTTAAGGGTTGGGTTCCCCTCCCCCCCCCCCATAATTAGCGATGCACTATAAAACATTTAAAATTAACCTAAATTGAACAGCCACAACTAGCTAATTCATATTAATTAATGGGAAATCCACTGCGAATTTGCAAGTGCGATCAACGGTAATTCTAAAAGCGGGGGTAATACTTCACTGAGTGTCATTCTCAGGTGGGACACGTTTCTGCAACTCCTTAATCACAACAATTAAAATGACATTGTTCAGAAATGTTAAAATAAGATCCTTAGTCTCAAAGTTCAGTGATGGTGAGTAACAGAAGTAAAATCTGACACTTGACAGTTATAATTTCTTCATCTTTGTAATGTACGTCACAATGCACTAAACCTTTTGAAGGCAGTTTGAATTAATTGTTAAGTTTTAGCTGGATGAGTTATAATTACAGCTCCTACCTCTGAATCTTCAGGGAAAATAGTAAGAAATTTGGCTTTTGTTTTGGTGTAAAATATGTGGAGTCTTATATTTCAAAATACGGATTGCTGAGATTCTGTTCTCCATGGTTTTGTTTAATGCTTAAAATACTTTGACATTTTTAAATAGAAGGTACTTCTTTGTTACAAGGGTTACTGATTCCATTAAATGAGATTTTATATATTTAGAACTTAAGCCATGAATATTGTAGCGCTGCTGAAAAGTTCAAGGAATTAACAAAACCCTAGCTAAACCATCAGAGGGTTGTTTTACAATACTGGACTGTTTTACATTTTCTTTCAATATTTCAAGTACACTGACTCCACTGCATTAAACACGTAAGTTCAGTAATGTGCTTAACCCTTCCCTGAGGGCCATTTCTGCAACAATTTTACAAACCCAAAGGTAAGAGTAGAAGGAGGCAAGATTGGACTTACCTGGTGTAATGGTGGAGGCGTCCTAGCTGCTATCATGTATTCATTTAGAAGATTAGGTCTATTACGTGAAATCAGGGTACAGCTGGAGACGTGCTGACCCACTACAATAGTAATTGGTGTCCTAGTGAATTCAGTGGTTTCTTAAAAGCTCTTATAAGTACAGCTGTTCTCCCTCATTACTGAAACTATTGAGACAGAAAAATCTTAAGGAGTAAGAAAAATCTTAAGTAAGATCTTCCACTCTCATATAACGTAAAAAATATTTTTTTTCTTAAAAGCTGGAAATTTTCAAGAATGTTGTTATAATCAAGACATCACTGAAATGCTTTTAGGCTCTGTGTGTTTCATAGAGCTTATTCTCTGGCAGTACACGAGATGAACAGAAGCAAATGGTCCTTTTCTTGCCGTGTGGTGAATAGAAGCAAACAGCCCAGACTGTGTCTGCTGAAAAACCTCTAACAGGGTATTCATGAGATGAATACAACCATCTCATGCCCCTTTGTCAGGAGAGATCAGATGCACTGGCGTGGAAGACAGTGACAGCTCCTGAACTTGTTTTATAACGTAGGAGTGAATCTCAGTGTTGACAAAGTAAAGCAGGGTTTTAGCTGTCACTGCCTGTCCCATCAAGGTCGTGGAAGAACCAGCACACACAGGGTGCCTAAAAACGAGCAGAAAATTAATTTTCAAGGGATATTTTTAAACCATATATTTAACAAGGTTAACCCGTGCCAGAGGACACCGTCAGCTACCTATAATTAAACATCAGCACATCAGCTGTATTGATTGACCTTAACTTGAGATAGCAGTTGTTGCCTGAAGCCTTTTGTAAGTGTGTGAACACAGAGCTGGAACAGACTGGGAGGGAACTGGGACTGCAAAATAAATGGGAGAACAGGATGTGGTTATTCTGTACTTGGCTATTCCACTGACAAAGGCAGCACATTCCTCTGCACCGTGTTTTTTTCCTACATGTTCCTTGAAGGAATGTTAAACCCTCCATGCTACCACACAGGGAGAAGGAACTGATGTTTATGGGAAGTCAGCTGTGCAGTGGAAAAGCAAGTCACTGGAAACGTTGGGTGAATCAGCAATCATGATGAGGGTGTTACCCTCATGCATTGGAAGAAGTATCCACACATATTGCTGGACTCTTGTACTGTAAATCCACAAGAAAAGTGAATATAGCTTCAATTTTAAAAGTAGTGTAGAACACATAAAACCATGAAAAATTCAAGGCAGCCTGAGCAAGTGTTTGTACCAGATAACACACAATTGGAAATAACATATCACGTGAATTCTCAAAGACACTCTTAAGTGAAACTACAATGATGATATGGTAGTGTAGTTTATGAGCTCGTTCTTGGATCTGTAACAAGGAAACATACTTTGAAAGCTAAGATTGTGTGTGAGGACTAGGGA